AACGGGAATTGCTGCCTGCGAACGAGCTGCTGGCCATGCCCAGGACACCTGCTCCCAGCTATAAAAACGGATTAGCTCCGTTGCATCTGGAGCCCATCCAGCCGGCAGCGCCTTTCCCGGGATCCCATTTGGCACGCAGGATCCGCAGCCCGCGAGTAACGCGGGGTGGAGGGATGAGCGCGCCGAGCAAAGGGGACGCGCGGGGTCAGTCGGCCACCAGCACGCGGCCTCGCGGGGCCGCTTAAGTGCCAATTTTCTGCCCTGCTGCAGAGGTAAAGGATGAAAATGATCAATAATGGGAAGTTTCCGCCCAAAAGAGCGAGCTAGTTGGGAGATGGGAGTCCAGGGCTGGACGGCAGCCAGCGGTGAGACAAATGTGCACATGCCACAGCACCGGCGCGCTCCTCGCTGCAGCAAACTGCAGATTTGCACAGGGTGCATGCACGGGGCTTGCAGGGACGGCACGGATTGCGTGCCTGGAGCTTGCACGGATGACATGGATTACATGCATGGAAACTGCGGGGGTGGCATGTGTTGCATGCATGGGGCTCGCAGGGGTGACACGGGTTGTATTCATGGAGTTTGCAGGGAAATGCAGGTTGAGGGCAGGGGGCTTGCAGGGATGACACACATTGTATGGCTGGAGCTTGCAGGGATGACATGGATTGTGCACCTAGAACTTGCAGGGATGACATGGGTTGAGTGCCTGGAGTTTGCAGGGATGACACTGGTTGAGTGCCTGGAGCTTGCAAAGGTGCAACGTGTTTGCATGCATGGGACTTGCAGAGACGACGCTTGGAGCTTGCAGGGATGACATGGGTTGTGCACCTGGAGCTTGCAGCGATGATGCGGGTTGCACGCCCGGAGCTTGCAGGGACAATGCGGATTGCGTGCCCGGAGCTTGCAGGGACAATGCGGATTGCACGCCCGGAGCTTGCAGCCCGCAGCAGACGCCTGGCCAGACCCCGTGGGCGCACACGTCTCCGTGGGGCACGTGGGCGTTTTGCTGCTGACTCGCTGGAAAAGCCAAGATTTCCAGCTGGATAAAATCAGACCAAAAGGACCCCCGCTCGCT